ATCAATACCCTATGTCCTCATCAGCCACTGCACTTCTCAGATTCAAGGAAAAGACTCTTCAAAAGAAGTTCTATGGTTTTATGTCTGATCTCTCACCTCTCAGTCTCTCTAATTTGACTTTTATTTAATAGAACTGGTCTGGTGCAAGGCCATGTGAGTATATCCTTTGGTTGCTTCACCAAACCCTCTCTCTTCTTTAATATGTAATTTCCAGTTGGCTTCCAGCACTTTTTATCTGTCTTTTTCTTTACTGTGTTCCCTTGCCCTTTGCCAATTCTTCTTTCCTCTTAGAATATAGACCACAGGAATTTAGAGTCATCCTTTTATCATTTTCAAACATTACTCCATTTTAGTGTTTTCTTACTTATCTATTGTTTCTAAATGTCAAACACTTCCAAATCCCCATGCCTAACCTACACATATCATTAGATTGACATGTCCACCTGTTTCCTTGACATATATACTAGTCTATTTAACAGAAATATCTAGTTCCATATGTCTAATTATGATCCTTTAATGGCTTTTTGCCCCCAAATATACTCCCTTAGCAACTAAATCCATCTCAAATTATGGCAACTCCATTCTTCTAGTTACTCAGGCCAAAGACCTTTGAGTTAGTTTGTTCTTAGCTTTATCATATATACCTTATCCAATGAGTCAGGAAATTAATATTTATCATTAAAATACTTCTAGAGTTTATCACTTTTCACCATTTCCATTATCATCATTTCTTTCTTGATTTGCTGTGATAGTATTACAGTCAGCATCATTTTTCAAACTTATCATTATGGACAGGTTTGTGTCCCTGCCAAAATCATATGCTGAAGCTTGAACCACCAGTATGCCTTTACTTAAGATGGGGCTTTTTTAAAGGTAAATAAGGTCAAGTAGGCCCTAGGATGGTGCTACAATCAAGCAGAAGTGGAATTCTGCTGGGTAAAAAGATTCTGGTGGTATGCACACAGAAGAAAGGCCATGGGAGGACACACACGAACCATAGAGAGACTTCACCAGGAAGCAACCTCATCAAAGCATGTGGTCTTTGATTTCTAGCCTTCAAAACTATGGGGTAAGCCACTCAGTTTCCAGTATTCTGCTATGGTGGCCTGGAAAGATGAATATAACCTTGATCTCCTCTAGTGAGCTTCCAATGTCAAAGTCAGAATGCTCTTATGACCTCAGACCTTGCATCTCTCCATACTTGTCACCCTGTGGTGGTTTCCCTTTCCTTACAAAGGCCTGCTTCCTTGTAATGCTCAATTGTGCCCTATGTGACTTGACATCTCAGCAATTCTAAGGATTCCCCTCTGCCCTCACTTCCTTGCTCCACCAGCTCTGCCTTATTTAGAGCTCCTAGAACATTAACAGGCAGAATCAGAATTCAGGCACCTTGTATTGTTGTTTCCTCTGCCCTATTCCCCTTCCTCTCAGATAAAGCCAAGTTCTTACCCCCTTCAGTCCTTCAAATAGCCCTTTCTCAATGAAGGCTACCCTGCCAATGACTTTAACAACCACCCACTCCTCCATCTTTACCTCCATCTACAGTCTTCACCTTTTTTTTGTCCTTATAACACTACCACTGTTTATATTTGATGTTACTCCCTATTATAATATAAGAATGATTTTCAGAAGAGTCTTGTTTTGTTTACTGCTGCATGCTGAAGCTCCAAACACAGGGTCTGACACCATATAAAAACACAATATTTTTAATAGTAAGAAGAAAGGGAGAGGGCACGGGAAGAAGGGAGGACAGACATATGTATTAAATCCACCGTTACGGTCGCTTTTGACCACCCAAGTGTCAATTGTTATTTTCTTTAAGGACTGCATTTTTATGCCTGCATCTCTATGCATAAATGATGGAATAAAATAAGTAAAAAGTGAGAATGAATGTTGGTTGTTAATTACATCCATAGCTGTCCTTAATTTTATTCACTCCACAGTTGCTTCTGAATAGGAGTTTGGAGATTGTATACATTCAGCTTTCAAAGAACAAATTTCACTCAGAGTCAAGTGCACTACCAGACATGCTTTGTAAGGCAAGAAAAACACAACACTAAAAATACTTGGGCATTTTTCATACTTATAAGTCTCTAGATTTATGCTTAATTTTTTCATCAATATTAATAACAAAATTCAGTAGTTATAGATGAAATTTTACACAGGACAGTCATTAATTTCTAGAGATAGCATCTCATAATGACCTTGGAAAATTTGGTTTCCATTGTTATTGGCCAAATTTTATAATGCAAAAGTATTACACTCTATGTCAAGTTAGCTTTCGATTAAGGTTAATATTACTGAAATAACTACATCTGCTTTCCTCTCACTGTGATGTTTATCACCTAATAAAAATGCTAAAGTTACCAAGGAAAGATGTTTAATTTGTTCTCACTGCTCAGTTGTATGTTGCATCCTATTTTGTAGTAAATGGCATAATGTCCCAAGTGGGCTGCCATACTGTCAGATACATTATTTATACATAACATTACTGGTTAATCAATGAACAACAAATGCAGTAGCCTTTTCTTTCCCTTTTTCTTTTTAAAGAGATAGCAAGTGGAAATGTGTAGAAAAAAATCCTATTTTTTCTGATGTTAAATATTTTGTGATGATAAAGAAGTGAAGTGTACAAATAGGGACACAATTATTAAACACACACTGGAGCATTCGCCAAAAAGAATAATTAACTAGTCAAAGATAAATAAGCTTCTGATGTGTTCCAGCTGATAAGTAGAAAGCTCCTTTCATTTCAGGTTGCATACTACTAAGTATGATTTCACTTAACCCAGTGTATAAAACCCATTTTAGAAAAATCAACTTAAAAAGAACAATGATCCACTTTGAATCGTATGTTCTGTATCCAGCCACACCATATAACAGCAAACAAAAGAGTATTTGAGTGTCTGGCTAAAACACCTTCATTATACTCTTACTGATAAGTTTTACAATAAATTTAAATGTGTTCAACTTCACTTAACCTATGGAAGAAGCTTTAGCTCTTTCTATAGTTCCTTCTGTGCTTGTATTTTGCAGTAAATAAAGCATTATTGGGATAAATTTGTCTGGTTTTTTTTTCATGTATTCTTCTCTAAGAAATGGCTTTATAAAGTCAAGGGGTTCTAGTGAAGAAAGCTATAATAAATTAGTTACTTTTAAAAAATCTTGACTCATTTGTGGAGGAATGACTGCCTTAAAACATTAGGTAGCAGTAAGCCATTTATGTTGAGGAAATGGCATTGTAGTGTTTATACAACACAAAAAAACAAGCATCTGGACTGCTATCCAGCTGTACTGTCATAGAATATGTGACCTCTTCCTCTCATTAGGGACTTGAATTGTCCAAGTGCCATATGCCACATGAGCACATTTGAGAAAAGAAAACAAAGAAATATTTATGTATACTCTCCCTAAGAGGTAGCATTTACAGAGTCCCACTATGTGCAAGGCACTGAAGTCATCTATGTAGAAGCACTTAAAAATGGAGTCTCAAGTCCCCTGATTCCCCAATGCACAAGCCTGCTCTCTGTGAGAGTTACAATGGCATTCATCAGCACATATTAAAAAAAGAAGAAGAAGAAAGAAAGAAAGATGGTTTGTTTTTACTTGAGCTCATTCTGTTGGGTTTTTATTAATAGAAGTTTTAGATCAATACCAAATATTCTGCTCTGTTCCAGTGATTGAATGTGAATACATTATGTGCATACAAAAATAGTGATAATCTAAGTTGATACAATAGTTCATTTTGCATTAGTGTCCTAGATGGGACAATGTTAAGAAGCAATTTAAATGAAATTCATTTAAATGTCAGCTCTCATGCTTGCGATTTTTCTATAATTGGTTATTTAATTAAAATAATTCTCATAGTCATTAATTTAGACTAAAACTTGCTGTGCACTGACATGTTTTAATTACATGGTATTAACAAAATTGATATGCTTTAAAAAAGCATGGTTAAATTTTAAACAAGAATAAATTAGAAATCTCATAGATCATCCCACTTAGTGTATTTATGAGAAAGTCGGTCATTTTAAATGTTTATTACAAACAAAGCCACAGCATTATTGTGCACATGCTGCAGTTTATGCTTCACATCCTTTAGACGATTTGATGCAAAGGCAGGGCTCCCATTCTTGGATGTCTTAAACCACACACTATGAGAACTACATAGTAACAGGAAACCACAGTTTGTTCCACAGTACACACTGATGAGGAGTGAATGCTCATGTGCTATTGAAACTCACGGAGACTTTGTAAGTAATAGGATGCTAGACAGAAGGGTGTAATGACTAAACATATATTAACAGGGTAAAGTCAATGATTCTTGTTAGAACCATCATCTGGGATCCTCCTCTCAAAGACAAAGACACAGTGTATCAGTTCAGCCTTTAAAAAGATTATTCTTCACATTACTTTTGTGAGGTTATGTTTGTGAGGTTACATTCATGACCAGTCACATCCTCATTTCCATCTTTGTCAAAGGACTAGATAAATATTTTACCCTTTTCAAATTGCAATTGCAATCTTTTGTCAGGAGTATGAGAAATCAGAATTTTACTGTTTTCTGTGAATTAGAGGACTTCTATATTGCTTTGACCTTTTTAATATTCTGTAATTTAATTGGATGGACAGTCTTCTTTTACCAGGGATTGCCAGTCTTTCTATTTAATAAACTTACTAACACAAAGCACCCTCTTAAATAGCTGCTTCTCCTTTGTTCCCTGGTTAAAGATTTGGGACAGGTTAAAGCATCATGCTTGCTGACTTCTATTACTCCATTTACTTGTAGTCAAGAGATTTTAAAATTCTTATGCACCTGGGTCCTATGGCTTAATTTGTTTCTGGATATATGACAGTTACAGAATCAAGTTTCTAATCCAGTCTCTTCGCTCTTCCTCAGTTTTAGACAGGCCTAGGACTATAAACAGAGAAGCCTATGAGTGATGCCCAAAGATGTCCTTTTTTTGACTCTTGTTCCCACATAAAAGGACAGGAGACTATTTTGCTTATGCCATATCTCAGCCTCTGTAATTTTCAAATGCTTGCCACAATAGGAGCATAACATCTGTTATTCAGGTCTTCTCCAGCATCAGAACGAACATGGCATTGACGGTCTGTAAGAGAGAGGGATTTAAAAAAAAGTATGATTGATCATAACCTAAGTAGTAATAAGAACCATATAAATATGTGAAAATTGATTTAGAGGGTGCTGTGGCCCTTTAATACAGCTCCTCATGCTATAATGACCTCCAACCATAAAATTTTTTCACTGCTACTTCATAACTGTAATTTTCTACAGTTATGAATCATAATGTAAATATCTGATATGCAGGATATCCGATATGTGACCCCCACGAAGGGGTCTCAAACCACAAGTTGAGAACTGCTGGTTTACGGAGTAATTTTGATGCCCTTCTTTGCTTTTCCTTTCATACTCTAGGCTTCCTATTTATTTTAAAATTCATAACAAGCCATATTATAAAGATTGCTAAGAATGGAAGAAAAATAGGACAGTGTTAGTTCTTAATACACTCACAACTAGCAAGATTGGGGTAGGTACATTGTTTTCTTCTTCATATTTTCTTTCACTCAGTTGTCAAATTCACTATGTCAGTTTTCAATAGGATACAGTTAAAACTACACCAAGGGAAACCCACAAATTCACCCCTAGAACTTTCAATACTTTCAATGCCACTCCTCACACACCCCCCTTGTGCTGATGCTATATGCAATGGCTACCATGCAGGCACAATGAGCGTAATGATAATAAGCATGCAATTCCAGCTAGGTCTTTTAATATTGACAGGAGAGGATAATGATCTTTGGAAGACAACAACCAGCAGATGTGACCAGAAAGAAGTTAGTCTCTGAAGATCCATTTTCCTAAGGAAGTCAGATTCTCATTGGAGGCCCTGCACTTAGCATACTTACTCACAATCCACTTTATCCCTAGGCTTTTCCTGGTTCCCTCACATATTAACATGTTTTATAAAGTCCCAATTAACCTGCTTTGTAGCTCACAATTTTAGCAATCACGGTGCCTCGAAATCTGGCATACAGATCATGTTAGTGGTTCCTTCTTCTAAAATTTGCAGGATGTTCATTTCAAGTAAGAAACAGAAATGAAGCCAGGTGGTAATGGCACACACCTTTAATCACATCACTCAGGAGACAGAGGCAGGTGGATCTCTGTGAGTTCTAGGCCAGCCTGGTCTATAGAGCAAGTACCAGGACAGCCAAGGCTGCACAAAGAAGCCCTGTCTCAAACAACCAAAAAGGAAAAAAGAAAGAAAGAAAGAAAAGAAAACAGAAATGAGATTAACATTTTACCTTTCCAGATTCTCCTGAGAACTGGAATTCACAAGAAGTCCTGAAACAGCCACAATTTGAATCCTTATGCTAACATCTCGGCTTCTGTGGCTTTAGGAAACCATTTTTCTGGAAGCTTCTTCTTTTTAAAATGACTTACTAGCAATATAGAGTCAGTAGATTGTAGAGTCAGTTATTGGCTACCATTATCATTATCAAAACATCTTTTATAGTTCAATTAAACTTTGTTTTTCAAATTCCCTATCTGCTCTCTAATTCCTTAGAAGAGTGAAAAACCTGGTGGAGCTGAATGTCTGACTCACAGTTAGTCTTCTGACTATCCATGCTGGACTGCTGGTGCTTTATTTCAATTTGAGACTCATTCATAAGCACTGTGATCAAGCCCTTCATCTAGGAACATCCTTGTGAATAAGAGACAATTCTTTATTTTCAAACTAGAGCATTTTCTTTACATTTTAGTCCACGACTGTGCCTGGTTATAGGCAGACACACTCAAAGATACAGACCATTGAGCCCATTCAGAAGATTATGACATCATCATGGAATCCCAGGATCAATGACCATGTTATCAAGGTTTAAAAGGGTAAGTGGCATATAGTAGACTAGCCACAAACCCAAAACAGTATCTGCATAATATTTTAGAAGAAAAAAATGAAACAAATATTGTCTCAAGTCCAGTAATCCACACAAATGGCACACACATTTGAACCATATGCTTAGAAAATTATAGTTGAAAGAATAATAACAAAAATGTATGGAATCCTGCCTAATTTTCTTATAAAAATAATCCTAAAATTTATAAATAGTATTTTAAATGGTACACACTGTACACATATATACATGTACATCAACACTCATATAGATAAATGTACATAGAGTTATAGAATTATATCTATTGTCTCAAAAATTCAATCCCATAATTAATTTGCTATGGATAATCATCTGTATGTTTAGCACAAAGTGATTAGTTCTTCAAACTTTATGTTTTGCACTAAAAAATTTTAATGTATTTGTTTTTCATAGAAGGCAACAGATGATTAAATTTAGATGTAGCTTACTTTAAGTATAGAACAATTGTAGTGGATATCAGAAATGGATGGCTGTTTTGCTATTTTATTTGTATAGTCAAGGGCCTGCAACTTTAATCTTCCCATACTTTTCTATTTTATCTGTATTTCCACTTCCCTTTTATGGATGTGGGCAGCACTGACAGTGATTAGTATGAAAAATTACTATTTAACACCAGTAGATTGCCTACAACTTCTTGGTATTTTCCCCATAGTAAAACATGCTGGAGTTAGTATCACAGCATATATGATTATAGAGTTTTCATCAAGGGGTTTCAGTTCAATACTATGCATAAGTAATTTTTAAATAGTTGAAGATCACCGCAAACAAATTGTTTGTATATGTAGATCCAAACGATCAATGACAGAGTTCTTTTTAATGAAAATAATGGCAGTGGCTCTAGAGATGGCTGAGTGGTGAAGATCACTTGCTGCTCTTGCAGAAGACCCAGGTCCATTTCACAGCATCCCTGAGGTGGCTGGCAGTGATCTATAACTGCAGTTCCAGGAGACCCAATGCTCTCTTCTGGACTCTTTGAACACAGGCACATACAAGGTACACATACATACCAGTAGGCAAACACTCACACAGAAAAACACATAAAACAAAAGGTTAAAATAAGGGCAGAAAGCATATATATTTAATTTTGAGTACAGAAACTGGTATTAAAATGATAGTTTGAAATCCACAAAACTTCTAAATTAAAAGCACCAGTAGTACTCAGTTTTGTTGATAATATGGAAAAATAGGACATCTTCTATATTCCTGGCACTGCAGATCAGAATTTAACTTTCTTTTTCTTTTTTACAGAGTTTTTCTGTGTAGGCCTGTGTAGATCAATCTGGCCTTGAACTCAGTGATCCACCTTCCTCTGCCTCCCAGGTACTGAGATTAAAGGCATGCACAACCACCACCCAGCCAGAACTTTAAATATGTATGTAATTTTTAACAACTTGACCTTTTAAAAAACACATTCAATATGAATATACTTATATGCATACACAAATATTCATGCACAATGCTAACTACTTTATAGACTCACAAATACAGAAAGGGAATCATTTTGTGAAGCCTGTTACATAGGTAAATACATTGAAGAGATTAAGTGATGAAATTTTGTTTTGAAATTTATAAATTAGAAATATTTGAAAAGACACTGTAGGGAATTAAAATAAAAGGACTGTGTTAGAAAACGTCTCAATCATTAAACATTTTATTTTCTAACTTCCAGGTGGCAAAATTTATGAAGTATGAAATTATTTCTGGGACATCTGGAATTTTTCACTTGAGTTCTATAAACGTACTTTTACTTATGCATTTTACTTCTGTGATCTTTGACTGTGACTAAAAAACTCACTTTCCAATCTCCTCAGGTAAACTTCTCCCTACAAGTCAGATGGTTTTATTCTCTTCCCTGGGAAGATAGGAATTAGCCAGAAATTAATCTATTCATTTATTCAAGAAAAATATGCCTCAAATCTTTATGGTATCTGGATACTAAATTATAGCCAGGAGATGCAGAAAGATACACTCCCTGTCTTCATTGTATACACATACATAGCTGTCTTTCTGAGCAACAACATCCTTTAGGTATAAAAAATATCCCAAGCCAAGTGACTATAATTCCAGCTACTTGAGAGGTTGAAAGAGAAGATCAGTCCAGCTTAAGATTTGGGGTCCAGGCTAAACAATACATAATGAAGTCATACATCAAATAAATAGATAAACAGGAATTCTTTTATCTTCTTATTCTTAAAGCTAAAAATGCTTAGTTACCTGTTTATGCAAACTATCACATTGTCAAGTAGGTCTTGGACCTCCATCCCTACCAACAGATTGTCCAAGACCAAGAGATCACTTGCTCTGTCCTCAGGTTCTATCCTGCTTCCAGTTGCTGATTGTAGAAAGGACAAAAGAATTTGCTCAGATTCCTGGAGGGTCTTATTTGGTCTGCCACTCGGTTCACTATCCTCTGGTAAACATCAGAGACATAGCCCAGCTTGGTACCATCCTCACCAAGTATAGTGGTGAAACAACAGAAGAATATGAGATCTTCCCTGTCCATCGGGAGTTTATTGCTGTAACAAAGCACTGGAGAAAAACAACTGAAAGGTAGGAGGATGTTTAATTTGGGGTCACACTTTTAGTCTATGACTCCATAGATTCAGGCTGTGGACCCGCAGAACATCATGGCAGGGAGTGTGTGATGGGGCACAGTTGCTCCACTCCCAACTGTGAAGCAAAGACCAGATGGATAGGAATAGGCCGTGAACAAAATACACTCTTCCAAGGCACAACACAAGGACGGACTTTCTCCAATCAGGGACCACCTTTCGTAATTTTTACTAACCCCTAGTAGTGCCTTCAATTATTAACCCATCAATGGATTAATCTGCTGATTAGGTGGGAGAGTTCATAATACAGCCATTTTTTTCAAAAACCTCATCAGCTCCCAAGCCACCACGTTTTAAATACATGGGCCTTTGTCATTTCAGATTTATGCAATACCCGCATCTGGGAGACAGCAGTGTGCAGGTTAGGAAAAGTAAGGTGAAGTCTCTGGAGTATGGCTCCTGAGTGGGAGCTACCATCCATGTCCACATCCGTGGGATACTTAAACCTGGTACCTGAGCGTGGGTACCTATGTGTTCTTAGGTCATGTAAGGGAAAGAGTCCCCTACCTTCCACTGTTATAATGAGCTGGGGGGGGGTTTATTTCTTACTATAACTTCCAGTAACTACTTCAGGCACCCATGTTGTTGCTCCCCCAGGTTCTTTTGCATGACGTCCTCCCCTAGGCGCAAGCCGGTCCCCTTTCCCTTTGACTCCAATCTTCACTGATTTCCTGTCAGACAGTGGTAGACATTTCCTCCCCGGGGAGCAAGCTGCCAGATTACATATGTAATAGGGAACAGGAAATGGAGATAAGCAGCTTAGCCATCATTTCTGGCCCGAGCAGTTCATTCCCGCCTGAGTGGTGGAAGACTGCCCCTGAGCAGGAGCTGCTGATGAAGAATGTCACACAGCCCTGGGGAAGTGGAAACTCATGAAAAACTGCAGTCTCAAGTAGCTGAGGAGTGTTCTGTTTTTATAACAGTTGGGGATTAGAATTAACATTTGGATTGAACTTTTTCTTCTGCTAGGGAAAAAAAAAGAAAGACCTCAAATGAAATTTTCTTTCTCAAATGTAAATATTTGAGAAAATGATGACCACAGACAGCATAGAGGCATTTATCTGTTTTCAGGCCAACTAATTCAGGCTTTATTATAATTTCCTCTCAATTCTCAAACTTTCTGAGGTGGACAACAAGGGATATGGAGTGTGTGTGTGTGTGTGTGTGTGTGTGTGTGTGTGTGTGTGTGTGTGTTGCATTTTGGGTGATAGGTTGTGCACCTTCTTGACTAGACTGAGAAATAAAAGGAGAGCCTTCAGAACATCAGTAAAGACAAAGATCAGAGTTCTAGTCTAGCATGTTAGGAACCTCAGAGAGAGTTCTAGAAGACAGGAAACTGGATATCATTGCACTAAAATAACCAATACAGTAAGAGCATGACAGCCAAGCTGCATTGTTACTTTTATAATTTAGGCTTACAAAAGGCAGCTGATTTATCAGGTGCCCTGATAATCAACAAACAAAAGCTTCACACAGGACCTCCAGACTTAGTATAACACATGACACCTAGATAAATTTGAATCTCAGATGAGCAATAAAAATAATATTTAATGAGCTGATGTCAAAATATTTCATGGGATATCCGTATGTACAAAGAAAACTATTTGGAAAATCTAAATGGATTTCTTGCACATGACAAACTTAGCCTCACTATGCAGTCCATGTTTTCTTTAAGATCAAATGTCTTTAAAGATGATCAAAAATGGTGCTAAAGCCAGAGTAGGTAGGTGACTTCTCTCAACAGTTATCCCTACCCATTTTCTCCTATGACAGCTTTTTCTTGTGTAGTCTGGGGAGGTCAATGCTCAGTTTTCTTAACCATCATTTTTTGTAGAAGTAGCCAGAGGATTCAATTATAAATAAATCAGGAAGTAGATAGGTAAGTCTTTGAGCTAGAACTCCCTTCTAGAATAAAAAGAAAACACTTCTCTCAGAAAAGACATTTTGGTCTTCATAGGCATTTCCTGTATGTTCTTACAGCAGTGACTGTGAGCTCCATATTCATCTTTAACTCCTGACTATAAGATGTACATGGATGAAAGCCTCGGACAGGTTGAAAACACTGGCATTACAGAAGCACAATGAGTCCCAGTGATCTGGACCCTGATATCTAGGCCTCCAGTTGCTGCACAGAAAAAATCATCCATATCTTTAAAGCTATTGGGTTTTCTGTTGTAGGTGACTGAAATCCTCATTGAAACCTGTGCGGATCGCTATCCACATTGAGCTGTTCAGCTTTACATAATAGATACAATTGAGTTTTTTT